TATTAGGGTGTAAGTATTGAAATTTTCAGAGTATATGTGAATTTATTTAAGGAATAAGTTTGCTTAAGACACAAAGAAGGTTTTCTATGTTAAGTCTGAAAGTAAATTTAGGTTGTATAAAACTTTTTATTAATTTTCTCTGTGAGTTTAAAAAATAGAAATCTGATATTTTAAAACAATATGTATTTTGATCTCAGAAACAAATTCAATTAGAAGATCTAATAAGGTTTGCTTAATAAAATTTTAAGATATTATCAATTTTTGTTAAACAATTTATAGATATTGAGAAGAAATTTTGTAGCTTTTTGTTGATTTCCTTGATGAGTTTAAAAGATATAGATCTAAGATTTAAATATTATATGCATTTTTGTCTCAGAAACAAATTTTAATTAAGGGTCTAGTAGAATTTACTTAGTACAATTTTGAGATATAGTTGATTTTTGTTAGGTAATATATAAACTAATAAAATTTCAAATAGCTAGTAAGTTTTTCAGAGATGTCCAGTAAGTTTTCCAAATTTAGTAAGCGAAATTTTGGGATTTGTTGAGTCTTTGGAAATTTTAATAGGTAGAAAAAAGTGAATTTTCTGAGGCAAGCCAATAAAATTTCAGAAAAATTGCCAGTAAATTTTTAGAACAAGAGTATATTTTTTAACAAGAGAATTTAAAGTTTGTTCTGATGTAAAATTGTTAATTTTTGTTCGTTTGTGATAAAATATATATCAAAATGTTCATCTTGATGAGTAGAACGAATTTCTCTTAAGTAAGAGCTGAGATTTACTTAGTAAAATTTCAAGTAAATGGTAAGAGAAGAGTTAAAGAAGTTTTAGTAGTAGTTGAATAAGTTTTAGTTTGTTTGTAGTATATTATATATCAAAATGTTTGTATGAAAGAGCTGAGTAAGTTTGTATTAAGGAGTGTAGATAGTTTCCTTAGTATAATTTAAGAAAACTTTAATTTTGTAAATTTTTTATTTTTTAGAAAGTTTTTTGACAAGTTTATCAACTAAAGTTATAAAACTTTAATAGTATATATACAATGAGTAGATAGACAAGTTTACTTAGAGCATCAAAGTAAGTTCTCTTAATAATTTAAGAAGTTATAATCATTTTTGTCTTGTTGATTTTTAGGTTTGGTTTGGTGTAAATGATTGACAGGAAGAGTTTTTTGTTTAACTTATTTTATTACCGTTCAAATATTTACTCAGACTATGAAAATTACTAAAAATTTTTAACTAATATGATTTATATTTTGTTCGATAATAATTTTTGTAATACTAAATATGAAAACTCCTTTATAATGATACTACTATAATTTAGCCAATTTTCAACAGTGCAAAAACATTGTTATTGACCCATTTGGACCATTGTTATTGATTCACTAAGAAAAAAAATTTAGATAATTAACCTATTTAAAAAAATAAATACTATATCATTCTGAAATAATGCACCAGGGCATTATTTCAGGGGATTAATTTAAAACGAGTTAATAATTAATTTGGCCGAAGATTTTTTTGAAACTTTGCTATTTATTTAATATTAAAGTTTAAAAAAAATCTTCAGATAAATTAATTATTGACTCGTTTTAAATTAAGCCCTTCGAAATAATGCCTGGAATTATTTTGGGATAGTATGGTATATCTTGTCATATGAGTTTTTCGATTGATATTTCAAGGTAAAATTTATTTACAAATCAACCATTTGTTTTATCTCATTCTTTTTCAATTGAACTGTGTTAACAACTTTTTTCGTATTCAATTCGGTATTATAATCTAAGCTTTCACAAACTCTTGATTTTTTAGAAAAAAGATTAGATGCACGTTGTACAGTAGCTTAGACAAAGATAAGTTGACAATTTCTTTATCACCTTTTGACCAATTGTAGTTAATATTTTGCTAATTTATCTACTCTTTTTATAGAATTATATTTTTAGTTTCTAGAGTTTTATTTCAGTTAAAGGGGTAAAGCTATTAAAATTGTTATATATAAAAATATTAACAATAATGGATCAATAATGATGTACTAATTTTTTTTTCTTAGTGAGTCAATAATGATGGTTCAAATAGGTAAATAACAATGTTGTTGCTCAACAGTATATGATCTATTTAATTATAAGAGTTTAATTTTTAAACTCAGAAATATAATTTTTTTTAGATTCGATCTTATATGTTATAAATGTCACAATAATAAAAAGACTGATGAAAGCTTTCATGAGCATTCTGTTGAAGAGAAAGACTGAAAAGTTAAGATATTTTTATTCTTAATCTAATAAATCAATAGTAATTTATTATCTAATTGTATAAAAAAATAGCACAAGTTTCTTCAAGCTTTTTAATGATATTTTTTCTTCTATCCAAAGGTATATCATCCAAATTACTTTTTTGGTAAAGTGATATTAAATATTCAATTTGTTGATTAATAGATGTGTTGACATTTTTCAAGATTTCACTTTGATCAGCTTCGACTATATCAAGTTGTTCTTCATCATCTAAAGGTAAATAAGTTATCTTTTCTAATAATTCAATATTATACTTACATAAAACAGCAAATATGTGTTTACAAGGAGTAGGGTTTTTAAAATATGTGTTTACAAGGAGTAGGGTTTTTAAAATATGCTTCACAATTGCAAGCAAAGTTATTATCATAATATTCAACAATATAATCGCATTTGCCTAGATCTGATTTAATAATAAATATGGATTCATGTAGACGAAAAATCGAATTATCATTAATATTTGTTGAACTTATTTCAACCTTTTGCCAAGTTCTATGATGTGATCCCATTCATCCAATATTTAGCTCATATCTGATAGTTTCTTCATGATAATCTCTTAAAACATTTACTGCTAACTCATTGATAAGAAAATCAACATGTCGATTAATGTGTGCTAAAAGATAAACGTGCTTAATTTTTCTATGATATGATTCAATATAATTGTTAGTATTTGTACCATGAACATATTTATGATGATAGCATTTTATCACAGTTCTGTAATTAAAATTTATTAAAATAAATTTAAAAATTTAAAATAAAATGAACCTATATTTTACTCTTTTAGCTATAGTTTTCAATCTTTAAGCAGTAAACATTTTAGCTAAAAGTTTTGAATTACCAAAAATTATTACTGTATCATTACAAAATAATGCCTTGGGGCATTATTTAAGAACACATTACTTGAAGAGAACTAATAAGTAATTTAGCTGAAGGCTTTTAATAACAAAAAATTATGGTTCACATTCAGTTAAATTAATTATTAGTTCACTTCGAGCAATATGTCTTAAAATAATGCCCCAGGACATTATTTGTGACAATACAATACTTAGAGTACTATACTGTTCAGCACTGCCTATAGTATCTTTGGTCATATTCAAAAAATCTTAAAAAAGCTTAAACACACCTATGAAATATTGTATGAGAAATAGGGTATTAGATCAAAATATGGATTGAGTTTTGACTGCATATATCAAAATATTTTTAATATAGTAAAACCTTTATAAGTGCTATAAATATATATCTGCTCTAAATATGCACTCAAAATCTTATAGTTCTCTAACTGTTAAAATTTGGCTTCAAGAACATGCAATTATCTCTTAAACTGTAAAGCATACATATTTGTACGCTTAAATTTTTAAAGACCTATTACTCAAAATTTTATTAAGCCTTACCCCCACTTTCTAAGCTAAAATAAAAGCATTTTACATGTTGAATGCTATATATTATCTATTTTATAAAAAAATTTTTATAATGTTTCAAAATTAGGTATCTAACGTGGATCGTAATAGGACTTTGATGTCTAAATTTAATATTAAAAAAGGAAACTGCACGTAACACTTATAAAGATTCTTCATAATCATCACATACAAGTTTCTTTCATAATGCAATATTAAAGTTGATCAAAGATTCTTCATGATTAACTTTATATTATTGGTTTTTGAGGCGATGCTATAGAGATATGGCAGCTCAAAGTTTGGGCCGCAAAGCATATTTCACAGTCATCAGGTGAAGTTTTGCTTTTTGTTTAGGCCACATGAAGTGTCTCACGCTGTAACTGTGGAGTGTGTCGTGTAACTTGAGTTTTTGCAAGTCACTATAACCAATTAGAATAGAGGTTTTGTTAAAAAATTTTTTTTTAGAGCACAATTTTCTTCTAAAAATTTAAGCGTACAAATTTGTACGTTTAAATATACGGTTTAAGGGATAAAAGGTTTCACTATAATTAGACTTAATAGGATATAATTCAAAAAATGTTAATATTTAGGCCGCTTGCAGTTGAATTTTCAGTAAACATCACTTTTAAACTCTTGGGAGGAAGGAAGTAAAATGAAGCAAATATATAAAATGAAAAATATGAGCTAATTTAATTAGTCGATATGAATCAAGCGATTGGTGAGAGTTATAGTTTTTGAGGGAAGATTTCAGATGGGAATGATGTTAACTAAGAACTAACTTTGAACAGTCTTATAGTTGAATACTACTTAGAAATATTTTATTAAGAGGTAATATAGGCAGTGCTATATAGTACATCTGTAAATTGGCTAGCTTTGAAGTTTGATTTATAGATATAAAATATTATATAGGTTACTAGAAATATAAAAAAAATATAACTTATCTTTTTTTTTTTATATTCAGAAAAGTATTGTACTACTAATGTATTCTGCCACTTTTGTTCAAATTGGTTAATAGTGACATCTACCTTATTTTCATCATCAATATTAAGTAATTGATTCATATCTTTGAATAAGTTATTATGATTTTCTGCTTAAATTTATTTAGAAATCCACTGGCGCCAAGCATGTTTTAGATGACATCAACATAAAAAAATCTTTGATTGAGGAAATACACCTTGAATAGCATTTATTTTTGCATTATCATTATCTAGCATTATGGCTGTTGGTTCTACCCATCCATCATTTTTTAATATGCGAAGCCAGATTTCAATTGTTTCACTATTACAAGATTTAGAAATCAACCATGCTAAAGGTACTTCATGTCCACTATGAGGATGACAAATTAAGATAGTGAAGAGAAAGTATCTACTCGAATTTGTATTATAAGTAGAGTCAATATGAATCATCTAAAAAAAAATAATTATAATAATTATATTTATAGTAATTTTAAAACTCAAAAAAAAATATTAAGACTATACAAATTAATTTTTAGTTTTGTATAGAAATTAGATAATAAAAAATTTGCTCATTATTGCTGCAAAAATTTTGCCTATTATATCAATTGAGAAGATTCATTTTGATTAAATAATGCTATAGACATATTCAAAATAATTTGCGATTATTCAAAATAATATACAGATACCTTTTATTTCAAAAATTTTATAGTAAAAAAATTTTTTTAGCATTAGGGGTTTCAAAATTAACAAATAAATGACACATTTCAAAATAAGTAGGAATTTTTTAAAAGTATTTTTACTAAATTGAATTCTAAATCAGAAAAATAAAATAAGATTCTCTGATTTTAATTTTAAAACCCTAAAAAAAACTCTTTCTGCTTATCATCTGTACACAAAATTTCGGCACAATAATTTTCATGTTTTTCTCAATTTACAGAAATTTTATTAAGTTAACAACCTCTTGACTCTTAATAACATTTGTTCAGCTACTGTTTTTACATATATTTGTAAAG